TTCTCTTTGGTTGGCTACCGTCCTCCGCTGCGTGCTGAACGAACCAAAGACTTATCTTTCTCTCTCTCTCTCTTTCTCTCCCGTTCTCTTCCAGTTTCTTTCTCTCCCTTCCTCTCTATACTTCTCCCTTCTTTATTCCAACGTGCACGCGAGAACGAGTGCACACGCACATCGCTCGGCCTCTCTTTGGTTGGCTATTCCCAGCGGGCTTCTTTGGTTGGCTGCTACTCGCTCCCTCCGTCAAGCCCTACGCGATACAATCCGTATCGCGTGATCCCTTAAGGAAAACTGATACCTTCCAATTTCATTCTTTTCTTTTCTTCATCATCATCATCATCATTTTCTTCTTATTTTTCTTTGTTCAGATTTCATGGTCCAAGGTTTTTCTATTTCTTCAAATTTCAATGTTACAAATGAATTTCATTTTTATTGTACCCTTTTCTTTTTTTTTTTTAATCTCATAAAATTTATATAAAAGGTATTACTTATATTTATAAACATATTCGTTTCTATTTATTCGGTATAAATTTTTGATTTTGTAAGAAAATACAAGTAGACATAATATTATCTAGTTTCTAACTTTTTTTTTATCTACTCGTTGAAATTCTTGGTAAAGTAAACAAGTAGGACTAGAAAACGATAGTTCAAATCGTATTTTCAAGACACGTATCTAACCAGATCACGAGAGGTCCAACCATCTATACATGGTGGTATAGTATATACTCATATATGTATTCACGTACATATTACGGTATCTATCTATCTATCTAACTATTTATCTAATCCTCTACGGTGAAAAGCATATGGGTTATTCGTATCACGAGGAAGTCGTTTCACTATTCCACGTTCTTTTCTTGGTTTCTTTTTTTTTTTTTAAGGGTGGGAGGTAGATTTTTGTCTTCCTTGTAATTTGTCAAACGTTATTTATGGGTCAGGTGAAATTAGGATGAAATTTACATTACGTTGTACATGACATGTTTTCTATTTTTTACGAAGAAATTTTTGATGTTGATTTTCTTAGAAAAATTCTCTTAACATAGTGGAAAGTTTATCTTAATAATAATAATAATAATTGTTGGATAAAAAAAACAAAAGAAATAAAACAATAATTACAATTGTGTAAAGAATAAAATTGATATTATCGACATATCCGCTTTCCTTGACTAAGTAAAGAATAAACGAGTATTATTATTATTATTATTATTATTATTATTATTATTATTATTATTATTATTATTATTATTATATTATAACTATCATCATAATTCTAGAAATCGTTATAGGTAAAAATATGTTAAAAACAAATGACGCGTATATTCCTTTGAAAACTATTTACATAAACTTTACAGTTTGCACACTTTTAGTTCCTAAGTTAACTTGCATTTATAAACAACAGTGAAATCACATAATATGAGTTATCTATCCAATTATCTATCTATTTATCTATCTACCTATCTACTACTTTGGCTTTTAACAGGAAGAGCTATCGTGTCTCTATTTGTCTAGCAAATTTTCGTCGGTTTCACCGGTTGCTTTCGCTCCGACCTTTCTAAACATGTTCACACACACACACACACACACACACAC